CTTATACATAAAATTTAAGGACTACATAATATTTTAACTAATATTATTAATAATTTTATTTTTTTTTGTTTTCTTAGAGGTATAAAATTAATAGTAAAATTTTATTTTTTTGTATTATATTAAAACTTGATTGTAAAGTAAAAAATACCTTTTATATTATATTAATAATATAATTAATTCAATAAAATAGTAATTAGTTTATTAAATAATAATATTATTTTTAATAAAATATATTGAAGACAACAATTATATTGACTTTTTTACATATCAAAGAATATATTAATTATTTTTTTTATAATAATTATATTCTATGTAATAAAAAAATGTTTATATCTTATGTTAATTTTTTTACATTAATATTTTTATATAAACATTACCAATACATACTATGATTTATTGTATTTAAAGTTTTTTAAATATACAGTATATCGCAAAATATTTATTTATTATAATATTGTTTTATTTATAAATACAATACAATTATTATTATAATTATTATTATTGTGACTATTTTTTATTAGGAAGTCTTATAAATGTATTAAACAATTAGTATTGAAAAAAAACTTTAATTAAATTTTTAGTTTATTTAAATATTTACAACAATTTTTTTTTTAATTAAATTTTTAGTCAAATAGTTTTTTAAAAATATTTTTTTTAATAACATTATGTACACTAAAAATGTCTCCAAATGTTATATGTGTGACTTTACTATAGTTGATAAAACTGAGCCGTATACAATTGGTTAATAATCACCTAGGCAATTTAACATTTTCAAAAATACTATTAGTATTATTAATTTTATAATTATTATATGCTTTAGTTATAAATAAAATTATTATTATTATTGTTATTATAATCATTATAAGTTACTAGAATATAAATAATAATAATATTAGATTTCTATGCGGAAATCAATTTTACATTTTATATAATAATTGGTTAAACGTACAAAATATGGGAAACAAATAAAAATTGTTAAACTTATTTTTAAAATATGTATATATATAAAATTTTTATAAACTAGTAGTGGTTTGTATATTTTGCAACTATCATAATTAGCTTAATTTTATATAGATGTCACACAATTAAAAAGTAAATAATATTTATTAAAGTAGCAACAAATATATATAGGTATTGTTTTAGTAATAAATTTTAATTGATAACACTTTTGTTAGTGTTATTTATTATTAATACTAAATATAAAATTTAAAAACAAATATGAATTATATTTAGTTCAGTTTTATTTCAAAATTCGTATTTATTTATTTAAGTAATTATTTAATTTATTACATAATACAGCATATCTTAAATAAATATATTTATTTTTTATTAAACAAAATAAATAGTTTAACTCAAAATCATATCACCAAAAAATTTTATTTATTATTTTTTTACAATAATTTTTGTTGAAAAATTATTTACAAATATTTTAATTTTTATTATTATAATTTTTATTATTTTTGCTTGATACAATGAAATTGGACATTATGATACATGGTATAGATTATCTAATAAATTATTTTTACCATGATAAATACAGATTTATAAATAAATTTGACTACCATTGCCGTTATAGCTGATCTCTATGACTCAAGTATGCCATATTGGACAGTATGCCTGTAGCACTGGGACCATATTTAACAAGATATATTTGTAATATAAATACTGTATATATATATATATTTTTGTTTGTAAACATTTATCTATTAAATAAATATTATTACTTAATTTATATTTATATAAAATTACAGTTTTTAAATATAAAAATATTATTATTAAATATAATGCAATTTATTAACCAAAATTCAGACAACTTTTGCATGAATAGGAAGTTAGAAAAATAAATTCCCTTAAATTTTTTGGTGCAAAAAATATAATGATTTGATTTTTTTATTATAATAAAAAAATACTAATACTAAAATATTTTACATAAATTATCAATTAAATAGTTTAAAAATAAATTATAATTTATTTAGATTTTTGTTATAATATTTAATATAGTTTTTTTAAAATTATATTTTTAATAATTAATAAATATGTTTAACTACTTTATTAAAACTTAGTATTATTATTAATTGTTTGTTGTAATAAAATTTGTATTATTAACATAAAAACTATTAAATTAGTATTTATTAATAATTGTTTTTATATATATATAAAAATTATTTTTTCCAAAATTATTGATTTTGTTTAATATTTAACAATAAACCTAAAATTAAATCAATTAATATATATTAATATATATATCAATGTAAAAAAATAATTGTGTATTTCTGTGATATTTTTATTTTTTGACATTTACTGTATATAATTAACAATATATTTTATATATTAAAAAAAATTATTATGCATTAATTATTAATTAAAATAATTATATATATATTATAGTTGCTAAATGTATAGTTTATTGTTTTTATTTTAATAATTGCGTTTATTTTATAATAAATATATCAAAAAAAAATAATTGAGTAAATAATATAATAATTACTATATAAATATAATATTATTGATAAAATATATTCATATGAATACATTGAAATAATAATTTAGTAATTTGATTATTTGGAAAAAAATAATTTATTGTGAAATTTTTATTTAATTGAGAATACAATATAAATATTTTTTTTAAATAAATTAAACCTTAATATAAAAATAGTAAATAAGTCTATATATAAATAGATAATTATTGATTGCTGTGAAATCAATTAATATATTTAATAATAATAATAAAATATTTATCAAAATTAAAAGTATTGTCACATATCATAGTCGTGTTTATAATATATACACTTAATATATAAATATATAACTTTATACTGTATTTGATATGAAGTATTTTATATATTGATTTATTGGTTATTAAAATTTTGTAATATATTATTATTATTATTATTAATATATTATGAACAGTGATGAAGGTCGTCATCAATATTAGCATAATTATAAGTATTATTATTACTATATTAGATTACTAGTAGTATTACTATATATATATATATATACATTTTTAAGGGTAAAATAATAATTATTATTATTAATACAGTACTGTATATATATATAAATATATAGTATAATATTTTCCAATAAAACCAATTATATATACAGTATCCACATATATACTGTACATATATATATATATATATATGTTTGGTGTTTAATAAGCAATTAGAGCTTTATTTTTATTAAATATTATTTTTTATTATTATTAATATACAGTATTAAACTTACTATTATTATTGTATTATTGAAGTTCACTGAAAAAAATAAAATAAATGTCAAGAATATTCCAATGAAATGAATCACAGAATTTTTCAATACAATTATATATATAAATATCAATATATAAATATATTTTGTTTTTGTGTGTGTTTAACATTAAAACACATTATATACAGTATATATATATATATAAATGATTGCTATATAAACACACACAACAAATATATATATACAATAGTAAACTTTTTTCCATATAATATATATATAAATATATAGTATTTTTTGAGTTTTGTTATTGTGTTTAGTAATAGCAATACTTTTATTTTCAGTACTGGTATTACAGTATAATTATTACTAAAACTACCGCATGCTCTCCAAGTGCCTGTGCTCTCATTGATAGCTGACTGTCCCTCTCTGTACTGTATATACTGTCTATATATAGAGTATAAATAGTGATACACATACCAATGGACTGGGCATACAATGTGTTTGAAATAAAGGGATAGACGGAGAGAGTGAGAAAAAAAAGTCAGAGAGCACTGGCATACAAACTGGCTAACAGTGCGCTTATATAGATTGCATACAATTGCATATATATTTATATTGTGTGACCATTTGATAGTTTGTTTGTTTTTTGATTAGTTTGACTGCATTGTGCAGTCCATGTATAATATCTAAACAAAATATCTATATTGATATCTATTTGTATTATTGTTATTATTATTATTAAACAGTGATTTCAAGAATATTCTGTGAAAACAATTGTGTAATTGTTTTTCATTCTCTATTTTATTAGTAGAAAAAAACTACTATTATTGCTATTCTGTGGTATTTTTTATACATTTATATCCACCAAAAAAACCTACTATTTATTAGTAGCCAAATATATAGTAAATATAAATTTATATATAGATATTATCATTGTTTGTGAATTACACTCTACTTTAGTTTTTTTATATTGTTGTTAAGCTAAATATCTGGGGGAAAGTTGTCTACACACACACACATATAAAAAAAACTTCATACCTACCGGTGCTTTAAACTGTATATAATTTATGTGCTGGCTATAGATCATATATATATATATATATATATATATATGTGAGTATTTTATTATTATTTTATAAATTATATAATGTTTTATCTACTGTAAACTTTGTTGAAATAAAAAAATATTTTATATTGCAATTTATGTGAAAAAATTACAAAAATTATTTTAAGCAATAATAATAATAATAATAATAATAAAAACAGTTATAAAACTAATAAATTAAATTTATATAAAATTAATTTTTAGAAAATAAATAGTTTATTGTTGTTATTAATCATCAAAAAATTTAATATAAATTTATTAATTGAAAAATTTTTAAAAATACTAATATTTTAATTTAACAAAAATAAAAATCAATTAACTAATAACTATAAAAATATGGTATCATCTAAATTATCATCATCATTATTAAAAATCTATTTTAACAATAACAAAATTTTGCACAATTATCAACAACAATTTAAAAACACATACAACAACTACAATAATAATTACATAATAAAAATGATCAAGACACTTTTTTATTACATATTGATTATCAATATTAATAATAATAATAATAAAAGTCGTCAAAACTATTGTTTCAGACATTTTTATATTCACGTGTTTTTTATTATTTATTGCATTTGTATAACAAATAGTAATGCTATGAAAATCATTGGCTTTTCAAACACGTTATCAAAGTCATCACAAATTATCGATAATAATAATAATAATAATTTAAATGTAAATCACTTTTTCATACAGCAATTATCAAAACATCTAATTAAACGAGGTAAATTACTATTTTTTAATTTTATAATATATTTAATTTTTAATATACATATTTATAAAAAAAATAATTAAATTATTATTTCATAAAAACAATTGTTTAATCAATTATCATATTTAAACTTTATCTATTATAATACAAACTAATAATAATAATAATTCAAAAAATAACTAATTTTTATTTATTATAATTTTAAAAATGATTATAACTTAGCATTAATTAATTTTTGAACATCAAAACTATTATTTTAATTGATTTTTAAAAAAATATATATTTATAATAATATTATTGTCTGTTAATAAAAAACAGTAAACTGTATATTAACGAGATAAATCAATGACAATTTAATTTAATTAAAAATATCCACAAAAAAAAATTTATTGCATTTAAAAATCACTGGAAAAATAATCTGTTTTTGACGTGATTTGAAAATTATATTAATTTTAGTTTTATTATTTTGTTGTTGAAAAATCATTGTTATTATCATTAATATTATTGCCATTAAAACTAATTAATATTATACTTTATTCTATTAGTATATAAAAAAATAGATTTTTAAAAAATTTAAATTTAATTTACACATACTTAATAATTTGCATATTTTATATAAAATTGCTTAAAACTATAACTTATAAGACTAATGATAATAATAATAATAATTATTATTATTTTAATATAAAACATAAGATAGATTCATAAGTTATACAACAACAACAAAAATTACACATATATTATCATTATTATTATTATAATAATAGTTTATTATATGTTTATGTGTGTTAGTATAGCTGACAAAATTCAAAACTATGCAAATTAGGCGTCCAAACAAAAATTTTTTAATATAAAGATTATGTTAATATAATTACTAGACATTATCGTTGAAATGTTTGTTATTATAAGTGCAGTACTACTACTTCAATGTCTAGTTAAAAATAAATATTTATTTAATATATATACTAATTTAAATAGTAATATATATACAGTATATACGGTATATCAATATACTATACAACAATTTATATTATATAAATAAAATTTATAGCATTTATAATAGGGTAGTATTATTTAAAATAACCTATTGTTTGTTATTTAACTCACTCTCTCTCTCTCTCTCTCTCTCTCTCTCTATATATATATATATATATATATATATATATATATATATATATAAATAATAGTTTATATATTCATAATATTCATAGTTTAATATATATATATATATAAAGGCAAACATAATATTATATTATAACTCAAATTTATTTCTGTTAACCAAAATATAAATAAAATAAATGCGAAAAATTTATGATATGTTTAGATAATAGAAAATTTTTCCAACGTTTCCGATATATTCATGAATTCATACACTATTTTTTTATTAATAACTATATTATATATGATATTTAGGCAAAACATTATCATTTTTAAGTTTTTAATATATATACATATATATGTAAACTATTTAAATGTAAAATAATTTTCATCTAACATATTGTTGTTTTAGCTAAATGTTTGTTTTTTACTATTATTTTCAATATATGTTAATTAAATTATAAGAAAATTATTTGTTAATGTTGTTGATGTTGTAATAGTATTACTAAAAATTATATATATATATATATATAACTATTAAAGTTTTCTAAACAAAAAAAAATTTTAGAGTTTAATAAATAAATATTAAATAATAATTAAATTAACGAAATTTTTATTTCACAGTAAATTAAACATAATTGCATATAAATAATAATAATTTTTAGTATATAAAGTAAAATTATATTATAAATATTATTTTTTTAACAAACATATTCATTTGAAATATATTTTTATATAATAAATATTACTAAATAGTTGTAAACTATTTAAAAAAAATCTGCTAGTTTTTAGCATTACATTATACCGTATATTAACAATCTATTTATGCTTCAAAAAGCGTAAATTAATTTTATATAAAATAAATTTTTTTGCATTAATTTTATTTTATATTAAATTTGCAAAAAAAACACTTGCAAAACACAATTTTTGCATTTAAGCAAATATAAAAAATATAGATATTAATTTATTATTAAAAAAAATGTTTTTAATATTCATACTATACTATACTACAGTATATATATAGAGCATATACTGTATATCTTTATAAATTATTTGAAAATTATTTAAAAGTTGCAACCAATATATTTAATAGTTAGATAAAATAAAAAAAAGCAATAAAATTTTATTTATAATTTCTATTATATTTATTATACATATATAAACTTTGATTTGCTATGGTATTCAACATTATGAAAATATGTTATTTGAATATTAATTAGATTTTTGTTTATTTGCTCTTATTTTTTAAAAATAAAATAAAATAAATTTTATCATAAAATCTTTTTTATTTTATTTAGCAAAATAAAAAATTAATATTCAAAAAACATATAAAATTTATACTAAATAGGCATTTAATTAGGCAAAAATAATATATAACTAATATATTTTGATATTATTGATGATAATAGTTGTATTATATAATCGCTGCATTAAATTTTCTATTATATCATTAATTAGTAGTTTTTACTATAAATCAAATATTAATTTGTTAATAAAAATAAAAATAAAAATATATTTATCTGTAATTAACTTAAAGCTGGTATTTAATATATTGATTGTTTTTAGTATAAATAAAAGTTTTTTAAAAATCATGAAATATTATTACAGTATTTATTAGCATTACTGTATATTTTACTGATTATATCTAAAGTAATTTTTATTATTGCATCACGTATTATAATATAAGTAAGTTTATATATATATATATATACTCTATATTTATTTATTAATACATTATATATAAAAAATATTTTTTTATTTCATGAATATACAGGTATATTATAAACAATATATATATATTATGTTTGATAATATTACAGAATATTCTTATAGTATAGTATACACACTTAAGGAATGCAATTAAATTAAATAATATAAAAAATAGTAATAATAATAATAATAATTTTAGTGAAAAAAACATCATTTGAGAGTATAAAACAAATTTTGTAACAAATTTTTATTAATGACTTTTTCTTTCTTTATTTCTCTGGTAAAAGTGTAATACTATTAGTAAAATAATTTGTTTTTTTTGGTGATCATTATAAATGAATTCAATCTTTTTTGTTGTTGTTGTTGTTGTTATTGTTATATATTATAAGAAAAAATAGTTTAGCTATTGATATGTATTGAAAAATATATATATATAAACATATAATTCATACCTTATTTGTATATATAGTGTTACTTTAATACCTGTGCTATATATTTGTATATATGTAATACATTACACTATAGTATATTATACATTGTTTTTCATGATTGCATACCATATCCTCTTTACAAATAATATTAATAATAATAATAAACTGGAATCCAATACATACAGTAATATACAGTGTATATAATAAAAATATTTTTTATATATATATAAATAAAAAAATCATAAGTTATTCAATATACCAAATAATAATAATAATTTTTTATGCATTGAATTATGAAATAGTCTACAAAAAAATATAGTTATATAATAATAATAATGAAAAAATAAATAGCGTATCATTAAAACAACTAACCATAAAATTGTTTCACTACTATATCTAATATATAAATACAATATACTCCTTATATTATTATTATTATTATTATTATAAACATTGCGTGTGTTATATAAATATATTAGTGAAAACATTATTATTATTATTAGTTTACTTGTTTGATACTATTTTTTTGTATATACAGTATTTTCACTTATAGTATAGTAATTTACTGCAAATTTTTCATTAAATATTATTATTATTATATTTTTTGTTAATTTGTTTTTTCATACATAATGTCAGTGATTGATAGTGAGTGAGTGGGTGAGTGAGTGAGTGAGTGAGAGAGAGAGAGAGAGAGAGAGAGAGAGAGAGAGAGGTTATTATTATTATAAAAGTTTATAATAAATTAGCAAAAAATAAAATAACAAATAAAATAAAATCTATTATAAACTTAACATTTAATTTTGTGTAACAAATTAAATGTCGTTATAAATTGTTTTGTAAAACATTTATAAATTTTTTATTGTTGTGTTGTATAGTGTGTGTAGTATTAGATTAAATATATGCTTTAAAAAAATCTCCGTTTAAATGTTTAACTACTTTATTATTATTATTTTATAAAACAAACAAAAATATATTATTATAAAAATAATATTATATTAAACTAAATTATACTGTATATTATTGATATATCTATAAAACATATAATGTATAATTTAAACGTTTTAGTTTTGACAAAATTATTACTATAATAATAAAATGATTTTTAGCCGTATAATCATTATTAATATTATTATATTTGTGTAAATAAATAGTTTTTAAAAAAATTTAATAATTACAGTAACTTTCAGACAACAAAAAACAAGCTATAATTTTATATTTATTTTTGGGTTTATTTTATTATATATATATATATATATTTATTTAAAAAAAATGTTTTGCAATACTATAAAATAAATTGCTAACAAAAAAATAAATTATATTTTTGTGGAAAAATCCAAACATTTTTACATTATTGTATTATTGGACGTAATTGTCACAAATATTTTTTAGCTTAAAAACTGTAAATTTTTATTTTAGTTTTAAATACTTTAAATCGAAAACACATTTTTTCTATTAAATAAAAAATATAAGTTAATAATGAAAAAATATTGTTTAAAATTTTTTTTTTGATGATTTAGTTTTAACAAATAACAATATATTTTAGTTTATATATATATTTATTTTGTTGTTTTGATTGTAAGCATTTTGATATATAATTATTATTTTATTTTGTATTACTTATTACACAATAAAACACTTTAGTTTTTTGTTTGTTTGTTTGTATTATTATAGGTATTTTTGTGTGTATTAGTAGATACTTATGATTTTTATAGACAATTTAAGTAGTTTTTTAAGTGTTATAAAAAATATAGAAAAATCGCGAAAAAAATTTGATAAACAAATATCAAATAAGTTATATATTTATATATAAATATATATATATATAATATATAATATAAAATAATAATATTTGTAAAAATGTAAAATATTTAAAAATATATATTTAATATAAAGAATAACTAAATTTTATTAAAACTAATATAATTTTTAAAAAATTATTTCACATTTTAATTATTATATTATGTTTAAACTTTAATTAGTAGTTTTACATATTTTTTTAAAAATAATTCAAGTATAACAAAATTACTATTTCTGTAGTATTTTTTTTAAATACAATATTTATGTATTTTAATAGTAATTTATCAATGGGTTGACAAACATATACTTTATAATCAAATATTTATAATAAACATTACAATATATAGTATATCATTGATAGTCTAGTCTCACTCAATGTGTGTGTGTGTGTGTGTGTGTGTGTGTGTGTGTGTGTGTGTGTGTGTGTGTGTGTGTGTGTGTATGTATGTATGTATGTATGTATGTATGTATGTATGTATGTATGTATGTATGTATGTATGTATGTATGTATGTATGTATGTATGTATGTATGTATGTATGTATGTATGTATGTATGTATGTATGTATGTATGTATGTATGTATGTATGTATGTATGTATGTATGTATGTATGTATGTATGTATGTATGTATGTATGTATGTGTGTATGTATGTATGTATGTATGTACGTATGTGTGTGTGTATGTGTGTGTGTGTCTAAGTGTGTTTGATGTTGATATCTATGTATTTGTTTATATATAAATATATATATATATATAATATACATTATATTTGTAAAAAAAATCTGTCAAACAATTTGTTGTTATTATTGATGATAACTATAAAACAAATGACAGACAGACAGAAAAAACAAATAATATTTGTGTATATTTTTGTTGTTGAAGTGATTGTCTCTCAATATATATATATATATATATATATATATATATATATATATATATATATATATATACAGTATATAGAAACACATATAAGACAAATATCAAACAAACAAATAAAAAAAATATTTGTTTTATTTTAGTTATTTTTGAAATTGACTGCACACATACACAAAAAAAACATATCATCAAATCTATTGATGTATTATTACTTTAACTTTACTATATGTGTAAATTGTATCGGTATTTGTATTGATATGATATATGTAAGTACTATATATATTATATATATTTATATACAAAAAAAAAATAATAGACTAAAAATATATTTGATGTCTATCGGGGAATCAAATCTATTGGTATTATAATAGTAATAATAATAATAATAATCTAGGATTCAAAATGACAAAAATTTTTTGGTGACAATTGACAAAACATTTCAAATGTATTTTTTGATACTTTTTTTTATCAGTATATCATAGATTGTAATAATACTAAAAACTATATAAAATTATACAATATGTTATAAGTAATGAAATATTTTATTATTATTTTTTAAAAAAATTATAATAAAACAGTATAAAGAATATCAAAATTGTTATATTTATTTTTTTTGTATTTAATTTAAAAAAAATTTAATTTGTTTAATTTAATAACAATTTTCACAATAAAACTATTTATTTTATTTTTAGATTTAATAAATCAATAATGAAATTATTTTATTATTGATCAACAATAATGAAACTAACGGTAGATTATTATAAATAATAATTTTTTAAAATATATATATTTATTTATAAATAAAATTATTAAAAATATTTTCTAACTATATTATTTTTTTAAATAGCTAAGATTTAAATATATTTATAATAAAATTTTTATACTTAAAAAATATTTTCTATTAAATATGTTATTACTATGTTATTAGTAGATTATATTAATATTATTATATAATTTTCAATATATTTTCTATACAATATGTATTTGAAGATTATTTGCTTAAATAGCAAAACATTTTTTTTGTGTCTGTATTTGATGTCTGCATTTGTATTGAGTGAACAAAAAAAACTCAATTGAAATACAAGTAGTTTTTCAATGAAAATATAATTTAAATAAATCTTACATTTCGTGTTTCAATTCAAACATAAGATTACAGTAAATATCAATACATTTATGAGATTTATGTTTTTGATGTATATTTTTGTTGAAAAAATCTTTTGATAAAATTTTTAAGAAAGTTTTTTATGAAAAAAACTAAATCTATTAAATAGAAAATAAAATAATTTGAAGATAATAATCAACAATAGTTTTCAAACTAGATATTAAATTCATATATATTATTTGAAAATTAAATAATTAGTAATAAAATATTATTATTATTATAATTTGATTTAGTTGTTAAAATTTTTATTTATTAAGTTTAACAAATATACAAATGGCTACATGTATTATAAATGATTTATTATTTTAAATAAATATATATATATATAAATATTATGAAATTTATCTACAACAAAAAAAATAAATAAAAATGAAACTTTGTGTAGTATAACTTTATATAAATAATTTAAATTTTAAATTAACTGAAACATATTGAACAATAAATTTTCAAATTCGTAAAAATCTTAAACATATTTATTGTATTATAAATTATATATATTTTTTATATACAATATATATATATAGTGTGTGTGTGTGTGTTAGTACACTATATTACTATAAAGAATATTCTGTTTATAATCATATAAAATATTTAAATAGAATAAACACTGTATATTAAATCAAAAAATCAAATATTTTTATTTTAGTATAAATTTATATTATTTATTTATGTATTTTATTTTTTGAAAATGTTTTATATATATATATATATATACAAAATAAATAAATAAAATTTTTGTTTGTTATGCATTATTATTTAGATGCATCTGAAAACAGTTTGAATGACAATAACAACATTGTGTGCGCCACTGATGATGACTGCACTGCTAATCGACAGCACCTAATGAACACCATATGTCGGGCACAACGGTGTGTCTGTAGGGATGGTTATACCAAAACTACTGGTAGTAGTACTACTACCGGTGCTGATGACACAAACAACATCTGCATCGAGATTAGGGCTATCAATGATGGACACAATCACAGCACAAGTAAGTGTCTATTGTATTGCTTTTAAAATATATGTTTGTATGTGTATGTGTATGTGTATGTGTATGTGTATGTGTATGTGTATGTGTATGTGTATGTGTATGTGTATGTGTATGTGTATGTGTATGTGTATGTGTATGTGTATGTGTATGTGTATGTGTATGTGTATGTGTATGTGTATGTGTATGTGTATGTGTATGTGTATGTGTATGTGTATGTGTATGTGTATGTGTATGTGTATGTGTATGTGTATGTGTATGTGTATGTGTATGTGTATGTGTATGTGTATGTGTATGTGTATGTGTATGTGTATGTGTATGTGTATGTGTATGTGTATGTGTATGTGTATGTGTATGTGTATGTGTATGTGTATGTGTATGTGTATGTGTATGTGTATGTGTATGTGTATGTGTATGTGTATGTGTACTAAATATTCTTATCTAAAAACTAAAATAAAAACCAAAAAATAAAACTTTTTTGTTTGAATTTTTGTTTTATTTTTTATATTTTGATTGTTTTGTCGACACATCTAATGTATTGTTGAGAATAGATAACTATTTTTTTCTGAGTAAATATTTTTGTTGTTTATATTTTCTTAATAATAGTAACTGTTTTTTTTGTTGTATAAATTAAGTTAAAAAAATATTTTTTTTTAAAAACTAAAAAAATTCTATAAAAACATTAATACTGTATATTTGCTTTAATTTATTAATAATAGTTTTAATATATATTAATAGAAATATTTTTAGTATAATATAATAAATACAATATTTAAATAATTTAAATTGAAATATATTAATATTTATTATTTATCAATATATTATATAGCTATTAATTATATATATAATATAAATTAAATAATATCCGACAATTTTTTATGTAACCTCATGTGACTTATTATGAGAAAGAGAGAAAGAAAGAAAGAAAGAGAGAGAGAGAGAGAGAGAGATCATTGAATTATTTTGAGTTATTGTTTAATATTTTTATATATATATAATTAATGACATTCATTGTTTGAAAAACTTCAGGGATATAAATATAATATTGTATTATATCATAGTATTTATAGTAATACAATGTATTATATTTAATAGATATACTGACAAAAACAAATGTTTTACACAGATTTTTATATACTATTATACAACAGTAGTAGTAGTAGTAGTAGTAGTAGTAGTAGTAGTAGTAGTAGTAGTAGTAGTAGTAGTAGTAGTAGTAGTAGTACAAGTAGTAGTAGTAGTAGTAGTAGTAGTAGTAGTAGTAGTAGTAGTAGTAGTAGTAGTAGTAGTAGTAGTAGTATAGTAGTAGTAGTAGTAGTAGTAGTAGTAGTAGTACAGTACAGTAGTAGTAGTAGTAGTAGTAGTAGTAGTAGTAGTAGTAGTAGTAGTAGTAGTAGTAGTAGTAGTAGTAGTAGTAGTAGTAGTAGTAGTAGTAGTAGTAGTAGTAGTAGTAGTAGTAGTAGTAGTAGTAGTAGTAGTAGTAGTAGTAGTAGTAGTAGTAGTAGTAGTAGTAGTAGTAGTAGTAGTAATAGACAGCAATTTGTCTACTATTATAATCTTATTATTATAAAAAATACAATATTTAATTTAATTATAAATGCTTATAAGATTTACAATATAATTCACATAATGTTTTACAAGTTTATATTGCATTATATTATTTTTTAAAAAATTAAATAATATTATTGTATAAAAAATTTAATAAATTATAAATTTTTGAAAAATAATTAATGAAAATTAATTTAACTTTTTAAAGTTTTTGTTTTGTTATATTATTAATTTTATTTTATTAATTTATATATTGATATATATATACAGTATATTGTAACTTTATTAAAATTGTAATTTAGTGTAATTTAGTTTAATTTATATAATTAATTAATTAGAAAATAAAAATATTTATATATAATACTTTATAGAGAAAAAAACACATTAATTAATTAAGCTTATTATAATTAAAATAAATTATGTAAAATACACTATTGTTATTTAATAAAATAAAATACTAATCTTTTTTTTTGTTGTTGGTTGTATTATATTTTAACTAATCTAAACTATAAAAAATTAAATCAATATCAAATATCAATTGCCTTGATGAAATATATATATATATATAAAGATTAACATAACTATTGTTTTCAAAAATTGAATTGTGATGAAACAAAAACAAAATTAAAATATAAACTTAAATAATAAATTTCTAATTCAATACATATATAATATTTTTTTTAGTCTATAATACTCTGTAAATGTGTGTCTAAAATATTTTTTGGACTTCAAATTGAATAAAATAATAAATAATATATATATATATATATATATTAAATATTCATTACTATTTGTTTATGTTGTTGTATGTATTTTATAATTATTGATTAAAGTATTATTATTATTATTAAATAACATGGATGAAATAAATTAAAGCAATTTATATCATTGACCTCTCTCTCTCTCTCTCTCTCTCTCTCTCTCTCTCTCTCTCTCTCTCTCTCTCTCTCTCTCTTTATTTATTTATTCATTTTATTTGTATTTTAATCAATAAACAATATAACAGTCAAACAATAAAATAAATAAAATAAAACAACAATAATAATAATAATAAAAAAACAATATATAAAAGATAATAACATTTTCAACAATAGAAAATTATATACTTAATAGACGTTCACTTTCACAGCAAAAATCTTATTATTTATTTATTTTATGTTATTTTTTTGGACGTCCATTAAGTTTTAGTCCAAAGTAGAGAATAATCTAACATTTTTAATAAAACTTTCTCTCTCTCCGTCTCTCTCTCTCTCTCTCTCTTAGACTCACTCACTCACTCACTCACTCACTCACTCACTCACTCACTCACTCACTCACTCACTCACTCACTCACTCACTCACTCACTCACTCACTCACTCACTCACTCACTCACTCACTCACTCACTCACTCACTCACTCACTCACTCACTCACTCACTCACTCACTCACTCACTCACTCACTCACTCACTCACTCACTCACTCACTCACTCACTCACTCACTCACTCACTCACTCACTCACTCACTCACTCACTCACTCACTCACTCACTCACTCACTCACTCACTCACTCACTCACTCACTCACTCACTCACTCACTCACTCACTCACTCACTCACTAACAATCTTATCAAATAGTTTTAATGCATTGTAAATGAACGGACAGTTATTTGATAAGCACTGACCAATGCATTATCAAGTGATAACTATTACTACTATATTATGTCTACAATTACTACTAACAAAAAAAACATTGCCTAAACATAGAGAGAGAGAGAAAGAGAGAGAGAGAGAGAAACATTTGTTAGTTTATTATTATTATTATTATTATTATTTTTGTTGGTGTATTTGTTATACATTTAGACAATACATTATAACAATTCAATCATCAAATTATATGCTTATAACTGGAAACAAAATCGTTGTCAATCTATATAAAACAAAACTAAACATTTACTAAATAAATAAATATATAAATAACAACCAAAAAAAAATAAAACAAAAATAGTTTGTCATTTAGTTATCTATAATATTATTAGATGTATATATATTATATATATGTATATATTTATTTATATATATATAAATCAATGATAGTAGACTAGAAAAAAATTTAGGATAATAAAAATAAACTAAATAATACAATACAAAAATAATTACATATTATCAATGGTAATCACAATATAAAAAAACTAACTAAAATAAATGAATAAATAATACTATAATAATAATAACAAATAAATAAATAATTTATTTATTTATCATATAAACAGTATAATAAAATTCAATTTGAAGTTAATTTTGTTTTTTGTTTGTTTGATTGAATGATAATTGTTTTGTTTTTTTTTAATTAAAACAAATAAGTTTTTTCAAAAAAAATAAATTACTTATTATATTTAATTATTAATAATAATAAAAAATTATTATTAAGTTAATAAGTAAAGTAAAATAGTTATCTCTAGTCATTGTTAATTAAAATTGTAAATTTGAAAAAATAAAATTAAATGCATGAATGATATGAAAAATTAAATTAAATTAAATTAATAACTATTAACTATAAAGTATTAAACTAATAATAATAATAAATTTGATTGTTTTTTCATATTTTAATTCATAAAAAAATTAACATAATTTTTGTTGTCTCCAAAAAAATAAATAAATATCAGACAATACGGGAACCGGTGATGAAGTGGTCAGTGGTGTCGGTGGTACTGCCGATGACGATAACAAACCCAAAGAAAAATCCAATGGCAGCCATATGTTGCCCATAATGATAGTGTTGGGCATAATGTTTATCGGGATGTGTGTGGCACTCAACTTGTTTAGCCGGTAAATATCTACTACCTGTGCTTGATAGTAAGCAAAAAAAAACTAAAACAATTTTGATATTGATATTAGTGCCCGATTTCGTGAGTCCCGGAGCGGCATATTTGCCAAACCCCGACTAATTAAGTTTAACAACAATACGACCACCAGTGGTGGCGGCGGCGGCGGCAGCGGTAAAAAACGGCGTACCAGTCCTCCCGGTGCCAATATTATGGTTGATACTACTGGCCAAGGTGGTGATGATGATAATGGCCAGGGAGGTAGCGGTATTGGTGGTGGTGTAGGTGTGGGCGGTCTACCAAAAAACGGAGCCTATGTTTCGGTAGCACTTGAATAGTAGTATTATAAATATCTATTATTTATATTATACTGTATTAATAACTACATTGTGTTATAAAAAGCATATTAATATAAGTATAGTATATATTAATAATATATAATTTTACGTATATTTTTCAAAAATATTATATTTTTGAATTTTAAGTGTATGTTTAGTGTATAATGTTTATTAATTATTATTATTATATTAATATATATATATATTGTATTTAAATTATGTTAAAATATTAATTTGTTTTAAATATATACTTTTAATATATAAAACATATGTATTTATTATTATTATTAATTATTATGAGAAAAATTATTTTATATTTTGTTATTTGTTTTTTTTATTAATATTATTGTGTGTTTAAATGTTAGATAAATAAATTAAAATTTATGTGTTTTTATTGTTATAAATAATAATAATTATTATCATTATTATCATTATTTAGTACATATTTAATAATCTACTTGTTATATTTAGTACAATATTACTGTATTATTACTATTATTATTAGTAGTAGTATTAACATACTGTATAATTAAGGTATTTATTTAAATTATTATAATTATATATCTGTACAGGTTTTATTATTATTATTTTGATTACATAATTATTAAATAATATTATCCAGCAAATATAAAATAAATTACAATTCATCTATCATTTTTGCTATATTACGTAAAAATAAAAAATTGTTGTGTAATATATATAATATTTGCTTTAATAATGTATAAAACAATGATATTTGTTAATATTATTTATAAATATTATTATTAGTATTATTATTATCATTATTATATTGTTAATGCTATTAATGTGCGTTATTTATAATATATTATATATTAAACATTTGTATTCAAAAAAAAAATTACATTTCAAATTACATTTGTATTAATCATCCCAACATCAACAACAAAAAAATAAAAAACAAATATAAATATTATAAATTATTTAAACATATACTATAAATATATTACTACTGTCAAAATATAATGTTAAATAAAAAAACAAAACTAAAAAAATTTAATTTACACATACATTGTAATATACAAGTGATTTGTAGCAATTTAAAAAAAATTCACACAAATATATATATATATATATAATCACTTAATTTTTAGAAATTTTCAAAATAATAATACTTTAACTAAAGTTTTACAACAACAAAATTTGTTGACATTTATTTTTGTTAAATGTCAACAACAACAACAAAAAAAGTCAAATATGATATATAATTTTTTTACATATTAACAAAAAATTACTTACACTTATACTACTAATAAAAAAAATAAAAATAAGGTTCACTTAAAAATATTAAAAATAACAACCACTTTGAAAAACATTTAAAAACTAAATAATAAATGCACTTATATTTTATAAATATATATATAAAAAAATATTTGTAAACAAATAATTAGTTTTTAGAAAATAAAATTATAATACATTTCGAGTTTTGACCAAAAAATATAATATTTATATAATATTATAGTTTGTTTTGTATGTCATAATATAAATTATAATAAAAAAATTGTTTATTAGTTATTTGATAAAAATACACACAAAAACAAAAAAACATTTATTGTAATACTGTATTTATAATGTTATTATTATTATTATATAATAATTATTACTATTATTACTATTATTACAAATAAAATCTAATTTGCACGTATTATATATTTTATTTATATATAAATCATATAAATTTATAATTACATTAATTATTTATAACTATTATATTATAACAATGTAATAGTAAAAATCATATATAATTTTTATTTTGTAGTTTTTTTTAATTTATAATAATCATTATTTTTTTTAAAAAATAAATAGTCTAGCATAAAAATAATTGGATATAATTTTTTTAATAAATTTATTTTCAACTAAGTTACTAATAAAATCATTAAACAAATTTTTGTACAAATATTTTTTTGTATTAAAATTAATTATTAATAATGCGTTTAACAAAAAAAAATATGATTTTAATTATAAAATATTTTCCATTATATGATACTATAATATATTATTATTTTGCTTATAATAATAATAGTACCAAAAATATTATTATTATTATTATATATTTAATGATAATTATACTATTAAAGAGAGAGAGAGAAAGAGAGAGAGAGAGAGAGAGAGAGAGAGAGAGAGAGAGAGAGAGAGAGAGAGAGAGAGAGAGAGAGAGAGAGAGAGATGACTATTTTATGCATAATTGGATATATAGGTAATAAAATCATTAATTATAATATTAATGCAAAATAACAATACAGTAATAATAATAACAATAATAATCTAATTTTACAGGTTTTGGGCGATTTATATGTAAAATGAAAAACTGTCTAAAAATAACTTTTAATAATAAATGACTGTCTAATACATTAATAGATGTGATTTTGAATGTCTATTAACAATATATATATATATTATTATTATTATTATTTATATTTGACATTGAATTTATTATATTCAATATATAATTATGCTATTAATATTTATGTATACAGTATTAATCATATATATATATATATATATATTATATTATACTATATATATACAGTATATTAAACTTTTTTGGCTGTATAACTATAATATACTGTATACAGTATAAACTTAGGTGTGTTCACGTAATTAAATAATGAATTTATAAAAATATATTTATATTTTATGATTTTATAGAAAAATAAATAAAATAAAATAAATTTTTATTATATGTAAATACAATTTTTTTAATTGTTAGTTTAAAAATATTTAATGAATAATTTTTATTTTACTAATTTTTATATTAATTAAATTTTATGTAAATTTTTATTGTATATAAATATACATAAATAATTATAATGATAAACAATTTATTGAATTAATTTTAAGCAACAAAAAATATTTTATATTATGTTTTAAATTTTGTTTAAAAATTATGACTGTAGTTAGTATATCGCCAACTGGTGTCTCAATATTATACATAAAAATTGATTTTGTTTTTAAAAGTAAATACAGTAAACTGTATTTACAGTAAAAATATATATAAAAAAAATTATTATTATTAAAATATTTTTATTGTTATTAAAATTTTAAAACTACTTTGCAAACAAAAAAAACAACATATTCAACATATTTAGTAACTACTAATAATTAATAGCAAAAATACGGCACAAAAAATATTTTTAATAAAATACTTGAATAACTACTTTATATACGGTACTTTATGCTATTTAATAAATTATGATAATAATAATAAAAACACAAAAATACTATTTTATTATTATTAATATAACGATTCTTATAATTTAAATAATATATCACTAATATACAGTTAGCTACTATTAATATAATTTAATATACAATAATATATATATTTATATATAGATAATTTTTTTTAAACAATAAATATATATTTATTTATAAAAAAAATATATATAATATTATATATGATCTTACGTATGTCATATATTAATATTATAATAATTTTTTCTAGTATATACTGTAAATGTAAAATAATAGACATAAGTAATGTAGAGATCAAATAAAATAAAACTATATGATTCATAGTAATATTTTTTAAAATATTTTTTTTTCAAATTTTTTTAATATCCATTGTCTACTTCCTCGAGAAAAGTTTCCACAAGTTTTTTAAATTCCTTGGCATAAGTAATATGCAAATTATGGGATCCTTTTGGGAAGCGATGCAATCGTGAATCAGATGCCTGTTTGGCCACAAACACCGGGTGCTCCAACTCAACAATTGGGTCCTTTAAATCAAAAATATTATTATTATTATTAAACACTAAGTTATTATTTAGTGTACAGAAAATACAGTTTCAAAAAATATTATTTTCTTTCTCTCTCTCTCTCTCTCTCTCTCTCTCTCTCTTTCTTCCAGTTATATAAACATTTTTTTCTCTCTCACACATACATACACACATATATACACACACATACACACACACACACATACATACATACAAACACGCACACATACATACACACACATAGACACATACCTGATCTCCATGTAAGACAAACACTGGTGACTGTAGTTTTCTAACATACTCTGCAATAGACCAGTTGGGAAATAAATCGTCAGTTTTTTCAAGAAACTCCATGTGTCGGGTCCATAGGTCTATCCATTCGCTGCCATAGACTTTCACATAGTTATCGATCAGATCCTGGCCCCAGAAACGTATGTTTTTTGTAATGGCTACCGATTGTATACCTTTTGGCGAACTATAGGCAACAATACCCCAGATTACACAACTCATTACACGTGACGGGTATTTGGCGGCCATTATTATTGCCGTTTTTGCACCGTCTGACCAGCCCATCACCGAATAGGATGAATAGCCTAATGTCTATATACATACACCAAAAAAATATTATTAATATAGTAATATTCAGTAATTAGCTCATGTATGTGTGTTTTTTCAAATATATTTAAACACATAGATACACACACACACACACACACACACACACACACACACACATGTATACAGAGGAGTCCATACCTCCATAATTTTATAGCCACAATAGACATCATTGTTATAGATATCGGTATCGTATTTGCGCACCGGTGGCCGGGATCGACCCCAACCCAGCGGTTCCATTGCTATCAGCGTATACTTCATGGGATTCAATGCATTTGGTCCCTCTATCTGTGGTCCAAAGTCGGTCCTACCGGTGCCTGAAAATAAATATTATTAGTATTATAATAGTTTTTTATGTTTATATATATAAAAAAAATGCTTACCAATAGCACCGGGTAATAATAGTATAGCGTGGCTACCGGTGCCAAATATTTCGTACCAAATCTGGCAGCCATTAACAGTGATTGAACCGCTTGTCATATTTAATTTTAAGTTTTTAAAAAATAAATAAATTTATTTATTTTTAAACAATTTTATTTAAAAATTATTATTATTATTAAATAATTTTTATTTAAATTTCACAGTTAGAAAACAAATACATTAAATAACTTTTTTTTTGAATAAACGTTTATAACAACAATAACAACAAATAAATAATATTATATTAAATTTATTTAACTTTTCAATATAGTTGTAAACATTTTTTTTTGTTTTTTTAAATTTAAAATAATCCACACTAATGATTAAAAAAAAAAATTATAAATTAATCATTATTACAAGTATTATTATTATTATTATTATTATTATTATTATTATTATTATTATTATTATTATTATTATTATTATTATTATTATTATTATTATTATTATTATTATTATTATTATTATTATTATTATTATTATTATTATTATTATTATTATTATTATTATTATTATTATTATTATTATTATTATTATTATTATTATTATTGTACAGTTTCATTTAATGGGTTAATACAGTAGTTTAAATTGTTAAATATACAGTACATAACTAAAAAAAAATAAAAAATAAGTTACATTGGTTATTTAGATTTAAAATTATATATATATATATATTAAATATATAACAAGCAATCTAACATTTTAGTTAGAAATAATATTTAGTATATTATTTTATTAAAAATACTAATTTGTATTGTTTTAAGGAAATAAACACACAAAATAAAAACAAAATAAAATATAATATATCATATTTAATAAAATTATTTTTTTTATTTTATAAATTGAAATAAAATAAAAAATTGCGTAATTTTTTTTATAATAATAATAATCTATTATTTTTATTATTACAACTAAAACTACAAAACATATAATAATAATAATATTTAAAAATATTTGCATAATTTACTCTTTTTTTTGACAAAAAAATTATACTGAGTTAGTATTTTTATTATTAGTATTATTATTATTAGTATTATTATTATTAGTATTATTATTATTAGTATTATTATTATTAGTATTATTATTATTAGTATTATTATTATTATTATTATTATTATTATTATTATTATTATTATTATTATTATTATTATTATTATTATTATTATTATTATTATTATTATTATTATTATTATTATTATTATTATTATTATTATTATTATTATTATTATTAAATTGTTAATAAAAAAATTACAGTAAATAAATGTGAGAAAATATGTCTATTAGTTATGTACAGTATTTACTAATTATTAACATTTCTATCAAAAAACAAATTATATATCCATTAATACTTTTTTTATTTATAGAAAAATTGTTATTAATTTTAATAACTGTACATCAATTTATATATACTGTATATACAGTATAAACGGAATAACCATAATTATACACATATTTATATACAGAATAAGATATATATTTAAAAAAAACTAATAATACAAATAAATTACTAAAAAAATAAAATGTTTGTTTTAAAAAACAGTAAAAATTAATCGCATATACTTATCAAATATATAATAGCACCGGGGTAATACAGTAATTGTATAAACATTGCTATCAGTACCAAATAAATATATATATATATATCGTACAAATTGTGGTTTTCATTATTTTAAATAAAATAATTTACTTAAATTTGAATTTAATTTAAACAAACTTAAGCTTAATAAAATGTAAATTTCAATAACAAAAATTATTAATTAATTATATTAGTTTATGATAATATTTGATTAAAAATAATTAAGATAATACAATTAAATATGATAAATTTTATTAAAATATTTAATTTGTTTTTTGATAGCAATTTTTTCAAACTGTTTAAATAGTAAAGTCAAAATATAATTATGGTAAATTATTTTATCCATAAATTAAAATAGACATTATTTTATTTAATATATTATTATTAATAATAATGAAAATACTTTTTTTAAATTGCGTAAAATATTATAAACTAATTAATATTTATATAAAACAAATAAAATACATTTAAATAGAACATAAAATAATACTTTTAACAAAAAAAATAAATATAAAAATAATTATTTGGAAAATACTATTTATTTTTGAATAATATTATATAAACAAAATAAATATATATTAGTAACTAAATGAGATATATTTATTTTTTTAAAAAACTTATATAAAGTTTATAACAAAAATTAAACATTAAATTTTTACATTTGTTTAATTGTTCACAAAAAAATATATTTATATTAAATCATGCAAATATTTTTTTTTATTATAAAATCAATAAACTATATATTTATAAAACATTTATATAAAACATAAATTCTTAGTATTATATATATATATAAAAAATTAAAGTAAAGTATATTATTAATAATTATTATTGTATTAATTAATTTTATTTTATTTTTTTTTAATTTTTTAATATCCATTGTCTACTTCCTCGAGAAAAGTTTCCACAAGTCTTTTAAATTCCATGGCATAAGTAATATGCAAATTATGGGAWCCTTTTGGGAAGCGATGCAATTGTGAATCGGATGCCTGTTTGGCCACAAACACCGAGTGCTCTAACTCAACAATTGGGTCCTTTAAATAAAAATTATTATTATTATTAAACATTAAGTTTTATTAAGTGTACAGTAAATACAGTTTCAAAAAATATTACTTTCTCTCTCTCTCTCTCTCTCTCTCTCTCTCTCTCTCCCTTCCAGTTATATAAACATTTTTCACACATATATACATACACTCATACATATAAAGACATACACACACACATACATTCATAATACATACATACATACATACATACATACATACATACATACATACATACATACATACATACATACATACATACATACATACATACATACATACATACATACATACATACATACATACATACATACATACATACATACATACATACATACATACATACATACATACATACATACATACATACATACATACATACATACATACATACATACATACATACATACATACATACATACATACATACCTAAACACACATACATACCTGATCTCCATGTAAGACAAACACTGGTGACTGTATTTTTCTAGCATATTCTATAATAGACCAGTTGGGGAAAAAATAGTCAACTTTTTCAAGAAACTCAATGTGTCGGTTCCATAGGTTTGTCCATTCCTGGCCATAGACTTTCAGATAGTTGTCCATCAGATCCTGGCCCCAGAAACGTATGTTTTTGGTAATGGCTACCGATTTGACACTTTTTGGCGAACTATAGCCAATAACACCCCAAACAACGCAACTCATCACACGTGACGGGTATTTGGCGGCCATTATTATTGCCGTTTTTGCACCGTCTGACCAGCCCATCACCGAATAGGATGTATAGCCCAATGCCTGTACACACACACACACATACACACAAAAACATTATATAATATTATTATAACGTTTAATATAATTATAGTAATGTTCAGTAATAACTCATGTTTGTATATATATGTATATACTATAACCCATACCTCCATAATTTTATAGCCACAATAGACATCATTGTTATAGATATTGCTACTGTATTTGCGCACCGGTGGCCGGGATCGACCCCAACCCAGCGGTTCCAATGCTATCAGCGTATACTTCATGGGATTCAATGCATTTGGTCCCTCTATCTGTGGTCCAAAGTCGGTCCTACCGGTGCCTGCAATTAATAATAATAATAATAAATCCAAAAAATAAATAAATAAATAAAATTTTTATTAGATTTGCTAAAACAATTAATAATTCAAATATTAATAAAAAAAACTTTTCTTACCAATAGCACCGGGATATAATAGTATAGCGTGGCTACCGGTGCCAAATTTTTCGTACCAAATATGATTGCCATCAACAGTAATTGAACCGCTTGTCATATTTAACTAAATTTTTTCAATTATTTTTAATATGAATAAATATTAGTATTTTTATTTTGCTGTAAAAATATCTATTAAAAAAAATATTATTTATTAAATAGCGAAATGCTAATAATATTTTTTTAAAAATATTATAATTATTATAACAGATGTTTTAAATTTTAATATAAATCAATTTTTTTGTAATTATTTTGTTTAAGATATTGTTTAAAACTATAGCAATATTTAATTTAATTAAAATTATATTTTATTAATATATAAACTAAAATAAACTTATTTATTAATACAATGTATAAATCAATGTATAAATCAATGTATATCTAATACATTATAAATGTGTGTTTGAATGACAAACTATTATATAATGTTATGTAATAGTCTAAAAAACTTTACTTTATATATATATACATTGTATATAAATATTGTTTTGTAGTTTTTTTCATATATTTTATTTATTTTTTTTTTGAATTAATTTCTACTATAAACGGAAAGACCATTTGAGTTGACAGAAAAAAATTGTTTTGTTTGTATATTGAATTTAATTAATTTTAAATAATAGTTATGCAATAACTAAATAATAATGCATTAAATAATCAAAGATCAACCCGTTAGTGAAAAATATTAATATTATTATTATTATTGTTATTGTTATTACTATAATAACTATAAATTATATTTTATTTTTTTTTTGGAAAAAAAAGTTAGAAATAAATCATGAAAAAGTCATAATCAGATAAAATTAATTTATATTATTATTAATTAAATATGATTTAATTTAAAAAAATAAGCATTTATATATTAGTTGAAATTAGTTGTATATATTAAAACAATATAGATTTCATTAGTAGAAAATTAATTTTTTTTATAAGAAAATATAATCAAAAATAAAGTTTATTTTTATAATAAGTAATTATAATTATTTTTTACTGCAATATCTAATTTATGTACAGTATTATGTAATAATGTAAATATAAAATAATATTTTACAATAAAATAAATAATAAATAATAGAAATAATAATAATAATTTTTGCGTTAATCAATTTATATTTAAATAATTTAATGTTTAAGTTAATAAAATTGGTAACTAAATTAATTTAAAGTTTTCAAAAAAWTTTCCAATTAATGTTGTCA